TTAATTTCTGGAAAGTTTTAGAAAAAACGCAGGAAAATGATAGCACGATCGTGAAATTTCGTGAGTCATTAAGTAATGATAAAACGCAAAAACGGTATATTTTTTCACGTCAATTCGAGCAGAAATTTACCAGAGAAGTTCAAAAAACGTGAATTTTGGTGAAAAGGGTGTAATACATCCTTAATCACGTGGAGCGCCTTTAATTAAGTCGGACGATCTCTGCTAGGCGAGGAACCCTCTTTTCTATATGAAGTATTCCATGCTAAATGAGTCAACGGCTAACCATCAACCTCTTGAAAATTGATGGTGATTTTTTCTACGATTAGGGGGGTTGAAAAACTATCTATCAAATTATTTTACATTTTTTTTGACAGCGCAGTTCGCAAATATGATTTTTTTCGAATTGTTCCGTTTTTTTACAATAACTCGAGTTCTACTCATCCGATTTCGATTTATTAGGGGGCAAAATTTTCCATTTTTCACCACCTATAAGAATATTTTTAAAAATTTTTTTTCCAATCTTTAGATGCTCAAAATAACGAATTTTCGAAAAAAAATCTTGAAAAACTTGAATTTTGCCAATTACGTCACGGTCGATTATTTTAATTTTTTTTCAGTAATTCTTATAATAAAAACGAAAATTTTGAGCCGTCATACATGTTGGGTTCCATCCAGGCTCTATTTAAAAAAAAAATTTTTTTTTAATTGCGAAAATTTGGTGGAAACACCTTAAAACGACTTTAATTATGTATCGAAAAAATATGTAATATATAGGTACATATTTAAATTTACTTCATACTCTTTATAATCAAAGTCAACCAATGACATTTTGGGGTATTTTGACCGAATTCGCGGAATTTTCCATAAGTAAAAAATCCGTGAGCGTTACCAGGCTTTTTTCTTTGTTTTCTATACTCAAGTTCTTTTTCCTTTTCTATGAACCATATATATAGTACAATCTTTGGAAAACTCATTAAATGAGTTCCAAAGTGACGACTGTTTCATCCAATTCTGACCATTTTTCATTGAGTTATGAAAGTTTTAGGCGATAAGTGAATTTTCATGTGTCACTTGAAAAATTAACTTCGGATGGATTTTTCGATGCTTTCAAGTGGCTTAAACAAAGATATTTATACATCATTTTGAAGAACATGTACTGTTTTTCGAAATGGTGTATTAAAAANGAGAATAAAAAATTGAAAATAAAATAGATCTAAGACGAAAATCAACATGTATGACGACTCAAAATGTTTGTTTTGATTATAGGAATTACTGAGAAAAAAAATTAAAATAATCAACCGTGACGTAATTAGCCAAATTCAAGTTTTTCAACTTTTTTTTTCGAAAATTCGTTATTTCGAGCATCTAGATATTGGAAAAAATTTGGACAAATAACATTCTTATAGGTGATGAAAAATGGAAAATTTTGATCCCTAATAAATCGAAATCGGATGAGTAGAACTCGAGTTATTGGCAAAAAAACGAACAATTTGAGAGATAGTTTTTTTAATCCCCCCAATCGCAGAAAAACTCGCCATCAATTTTCAAGAGGTTGAGGGTCAGCCGTTGACTCATTTAGCATGGAATACCTCATATATAAGTATTAAGGACAACAACAACAAAATTATCGAAAATTTTGAGGTCAGATCTCGTACGATATTTGGTAGAATGNTATTGGACAAAATTTGGACAAATAACATTCTTATAGGTGATGAAAAATGGAAAATTTTGATCCCTAATAAATCGAAATCGGATGAGTAGAACTCGAGTTATTGGCAAAAAAACGAACAATTTGAGAGATAGTTTTTTTAATCCCCCCAATCGCAGAAAAACTCGCCATCAATTTTCAAGAGGTTGAGGGTCAGCCGTTGACTCATTTAGCATGGAATACCTCATATATAAGTATTAAGGACAACAACAACAAAATTATCGAAAATTTTGAGGTCAGATCTCGTACGATATTTGGTAGAATGGCCCATCTGGGTGGAAATTCACGGTCAAAATTTATTCGGTCATTTCATGCTCATGGCCAATCGTCATTTTTTTCTGACTAGATGATCACATTCTCGGGACGGTTATTACGGGCATGACGGTGGCCGTTGACGGTCATTCTGTCCCTCACATTTCTAATGACCTCTTCATCATCCCAAAAAATGACAAGAAGGAAAATCTGTGACTGTGACATAAAGGAATAGGATACAATCGCCAAAATACAGTTACTACGTGATTTTTATTAACATGTACTGCTTTCCTTTTTTGACAAAAAAGAAATAAAAAAAACATTAAATAAAAAAAAATATTTGCACTAGTAGAGAAACAAGAGGCCGGATTACGCTGCTGATTACTCATGTGTGCGCACGCACATTTCTTTATGTCTTATCAACGGGGTACGTCAATCTGTACTCATACAATAATTGAGATTCCCTCCATAAATGTACAATTTGATAATCAATAAATGCAGAGTAACGAGGCAATACCCTTAATGAGCATCTTACCAATGGAAAAAAAAGTAAAGCTCGAGTTAAAAGAGGAAAAAAATCTCCAAAAGATGGATTAAGCAGCGACCACAAATATAATCCACCAACACGCAAGAGACCGCGACAATTTCACGAGTTTCTTATTACTCAGCATTCATAAATCCCAGAAAAAAACAGTGGAATGAGTAAAAAAAAACTCAAAAATCGTAACCAACACATATATAATTATATCACTAATTTAATTGCTTCAGGACAAGGCGCATTTTGTCGTTTCTCACAAAGGAAGACCTTCTACGTAAATGAGGTACTTTCATCAAGCACACGAGTGCATAGACGTTAATGAGAAAATTTTTACGTCCATGATTATTTCGTAAAATAAAAAAATTACGAGATAGATTGTTTAGCATTTCAACTATATCTACAAAATTCATGACGCGCCAGGACGGAATTCCGTCGTTGCTAAGTAGATTACACTGCACAGATTGACGTACTCTCGTCAATTAATAATATAAATAAATACAATATGTATATATGTATAATATGTATATATATATAAAGAGTGTTTTTTGACGTTGATCGTGGTGCAGACAGTGGACACATGGATTTAAGTACAAATTATTGGCAACTGTAGAGAGCACGATTCCCCCCTGTCTGCACCACAATCTACAATTATTTCCATTTTTTTTTTTCGTAAATTGAATGTTTATATCGATCGGACGATAATTCTTCAGTTTCTTCTCGCTGTTTGATGACTCAAATTTAATTCTATTCACATTTAGTCATTGACGACGAGTTATTCACTGGGAATTGATCGATTACACCCTCGAAACATCAGCATCTCGTCACCTTGAGAATTGCATGGCATAAATTATACTAAAAAAATGTTACATCAATGGAAAATAAGAGTATTAAAAAATTCTTAATCAGTCGATTGAATAGTTGATTCGTGGAACGCATATTTGAGTATTTTAATTCAGTCCACGTGAATGTTAATTTACCATGAAAAACGGTATTTCATAATTGGATACGTCATCACATTTTGCTGTTTCTATTTGCTCTTTTTTGAGACCTCATTAGCGCCGTCTGAGTCCAATAATTTGTAAAATACGTGAAAAAAAACGTTCTACTGAATTTTTCCCGCAATATTTTTCCTACAATCGTAGAACGAAAATATTCGACAAATAACAAGACCTCGAGGCACATAATCATGCTTCCTGGAAACCTGGTACAAAAATGCCGCTCTTTTATACCCTAAATATTTCGTTAATTTCCATCTGTTTTCTTTCTCTTCTTAATGAAAATTGTACAATTGATAATTGTTTCATTTAATTGGACAATAGCAGTAATTATTCATGGAATGAGTTAGTAACTATTTGATGAAGAATGATGATGATTCAATATCAAAGTGAAAATGACATAATTTACAAATTATTAAAAAAAACAATAGATCTCAATTGAATATTAAAAAATAATTAATCAATACCCTATGCACGAGACTCGTATGGCTTTACAGAATGCCTCTGTCCCTGTAGAACAGAGAAATTAATTGCGATAATTACAGAATTAAATTGATTGAGTTCAGCAGAACAGTGGTAAACCCCAAGCAAACCCCATCTGTTAATTATAAAATTACCCCCTAAATGATCGATTCTACGAGAAAATGTCAGAAAATCTTTTCGCTGGAGAATTAAATTCGCCACAAAAATCTACTAATGACATTTTCCCCTAAACCCACTCATTCCACTGATAATTCAACATTTAACAACAGAAAGAACCCACCACTTCTCCATTGAATTAAAAAACCTAGAATTAAAACAAAAATAATTGTATCACGTACAATTACATACGTACATTCCTATCTAGGCCTAGAACAGACTGAGCTTCATTCATCCTACGAAAAAAAAAAACAATTTCCCAGACACTGCAAAATGACCCGACCACCCGTCGTCCCATTAATTCTTTTTTCCTTAAAGTATTATCGTTACTTTGTTCATTCATTCCATCAATCACTCAATTCACCACTCACCCTTGCACATCATATTTATACATAATACATTGCTCTCCCAAACTAGCTCACTACGTACCAGAGGTCATTTCACATCGCTTCCCACCACTCATATATATTTTTTATGTATATCATACATGCAGATTTCAATGAAAACAAAGAGCAACATGTTGAACATGGTTGAATTATTTGTTATTTTGGATGGTCATTATCAGGTGGATCACAGTGGCTAATTAATTATCTTGCATGGAACGTAAGCTCCAGACATTTGCTCTTTGTTGACATTTCAATCCCCTATATAACATGTTAATAATTAATAATAATTCATATATCGCAATGAAGATAATAGGCATAGCCACGCATGCTCGGATCACAGACTACTCGCTCTGCTGTACACCTCCATTTCTTTTTTTTTACTAGTACAAACAGTCTGGTGCGCACTATGGCTTCTTTATTTAATTTTATTCATTAGTTATTCCTTAAAATGCATCATTTTTTGTTTTTTTGTCATCACTTACTCATTTTTTTTAGCCTTTTTTAATCCATTCTTCTATTTTTCTTCCATTTCCCTTATCCCCCCCCCCTTTTGTGCGGTGATTCTATCTCCGTGTTTTGCATTTTTCTTTTATCTTCTACTGTATTTACTGGCAGTGAAAGAAATTGAATTAAAATGAGACCATTTTACTTTTGTATTGAATCGAGTCAATGTTCTTTTCATTTCCCACTTCTTCGAATTGTACCGAAGGTGCAGAGACTATTTTAATTTTTCGTTTCTTCTTTTTCATTTTTAAATCATTTATATGGCGGTATAAGTTTCATATTTTTCATACTTTGTTTTTTTTTTCATTTTCATCATCTTTTTGTACATATGAACGAGGTGTATCTGATGCGCAAAATCGAGGCACTGGTCAGTGTTTATTTTATTATTCACTCTTCCCTTTCTTTTATTATTTAATTTTTCTTTCTCTTTATCATCTGAAAATTTCGACGGTTCACGCAATGTAATTGGGGGTAGTGTGTCAGCAGGCACTCGTCTCTTCTCCCTCGATTGTACACGCTACATTCTCGAGTTTGTGGGCTAGGTGTAACTGACGACAGCCTGCGTCCGATTCCAAGGCCTCTAAAATCTGGAAGCAGATGGAGATGTGTGAGGGGAAGTAGCTCATTGCCATGCGATAACGTAGTATGAATGGATACACTTCAGTTGAGTCATTTATGGGAAAAAGTATTGATCACTTATAATTTTTTCCATAAAGTCTAACTTTGATGAGTGTAAGAAATTCATCCATGAAATTATTTCTTCAATTATTGGGGAAAAATTACCAAATAAATGAAGTAATCGTAGAGCGACATTCAGTTCTACACTGAGAGAAAAATGAACAAGTTGTCAAACAAGTCTGGTCTGGGCCAACAAAATCGCTCGTTGAAAATTACCAAAAAAATAATTGTTTGTTTCGAATTTGAAAGTCTCAAACGTGAATAATTGCTCTGCTTTCAATAACAGGGAAATATTTGACTCAAGAGGCGGATTATTCACACAGGACAATCAAGAAATATTTTGTCTTCAAATTACAAGATTGCTGTCACATCATTATTATTATTATTTTAGTAGCGAAGTGGTTAAAGGAGATAAGTCAATTTTGACTATTGACCAGTTTTCAATGAATATCTCGAAATCGAAGAGAGAGCAAAATTTTTCTCATAACCTTTTTAGTACTCAATTCGCTCTACAAAAAAATTTTGTTTGAAACGCAGCAAATAAGTCACTATCTAAAGTTACTGGGCTCAACGGAAAATCCCGACCGACCTCGGAACCCTTCGGGTTCACGGGCAAATCGCGCGCGCTAGTTGGGCTGCATGGTTCTGACACTGAATTCGACACTAAAGAACTGATGCAAATATTTGTATTTGTTCTTCAATCTCGAATTCTTGAGTCAGATTCTTGATTGCATCGACTGATCGAAGTCACTTGACAATTGCACCAATAAGAAACTACATCAAAATTGCAATGTTCCCAGCGAATGGAACCAACGTAATGTCTATACATAGAAAAACATTCTTGATTCAAATCGAATTTTAAGCCCTTAATCGAACCGATTAAGATTNAAGCAAATCGCCAAATATGAAATTTCAGTAGTATCAATCTATTCCTTAAAGAGTATACATCGGTTAGTCAGAGATTCACCTATAGAGTGCAGTATCAAACTAACCGAGTATCGAGTACATCACCGAGTATTATATTGAGTCTAGCGCTCTGTGTAGCGTCTCTATTTGATTCAATTATCAATTAATTCCGAATTAACTATCAATTACTTTGAGTCAATCATCAAGTTTAATACCGAGAGAATCTCAGTGCAGTGTAAAGAATATTATCAAATTAACATTGAGACATTCACCAATTCGCGTATCCCTGAAATCAAGACGCGTGGCTTGCGCCACCAATAAAGTACATCACCAGTGTTTTGTAATCCGCGTGTCTTTAATTTTCACCTTTTGCATATCATGTGTCCTCAATCCGCCCTAATATAGTCTCAATCTCTAACAAATTTATATTATGAAAATTTCGCTATCTCCCTTAAATTCAGAAATATTTATGGAAAACGCAATTAAAGACTAAATTGACTAAAACCGTTCGACCACTTCGCTACTGAAATTGTTTCCAGCAAATTGTGAATTCACAATTATGAATTTCCTCGAAATGTTACATTATCATCAGTGTCACATACTAAAAATTTCCTAGAAATTCCCGGGAACCATAAATTTCAGCCGAAGTTTCTAACAGTGTAGCAAATTTACGTACAGTTCGTCATGTTTGATAGCTCAACTGAATATTCATCATTAATATAAATATTCATGAGCATTTTTTATTCGTTTTTTAAGAGTTCCTAGTTCGGTGAGCGAAACAAATATTGTCCCTAGTTTTTTAAATGAAAAGACCCGTAGAAAGATTGTTCGATGCAAGAGTGCTGAATGAATATCCAATTATCAGTCATTTCATCTTTTCTCATTGAGTCACAGGAAAAAAAAACTATTTGCTAGAGCGCATGAAACCTGTCTAAAACGAGCGAAACGAATTCCAATTATTTTCATAGCCATCAATTTTTGCTTCGGAATGAAAGCATTGTAATCGTGCTGTTTTCACATTCTCTAATTTTTATTGGAAATTATGTAGAATGGGCTGAAACGTAAAAATACGAAGTTTGGCGACCATGTCTGTCGGTGTCAATGTCCATCGCCACCTTTCCGGTGGTCATTTTTTGGAAAATTGAGTAATTAATTGGCTAAACTTATTCCAAAAAATCTGAAATTTTGTTAGATTATAAACCTTAACAAGGACTAACTCTGTGCAAAAGTTCAGCCCGATTGATCAAATAGTTTTTGAGAAAAAGCTATTCGTTTTCAAATCGTTTTTCGCTAATATCTTCGAAGCTAGTCGACCGATTTTTTTTTTTTTTTCAAAATATTCGTTTCGATGCCTTCTATCCGAATCAATCAAAACATATATGCCCGTTCATACAAAGTTTTCGAGATATTTCCGTTTTTCTGTTTTTTCATAAAATCCTTGTAATCACTCTAGCTTGTACAAAAATTGAGATATCAACTTGAAATTTGGACAGAATCTTCCTCTCATGATAACAATCCTTCCTATTGAAAATAAGCTCAATCGCATGAGTAGTTTCCGAGATATTTGACTTTCTCTGAAAACCTTTACTAACGATCTGACAGCCATTGACTACTGTGACAAATGATGGCCTAACAGCCATTAGATACATCAAATTATTAATTTGCAATTTCCTCCCTATTGGCTTTATTTTCCAATATTATTCAAAAACGCTCTTTGAAAATGTTCAGCTTTTTTTCAACATTTTTTTGAATGTACAATCATAATTTTTTAAGACTCCAGGGCTGTGTAAAACTGAATAGCAATTGGAGATCATTTCAGATTATCAAAATAAAAAAAAAACAATCAAATCACGTTTAAAAGATAATCCGCCCGAGCTTTAATCTGAAATTTTTACCAAAAATGGCCAATAAAATGAACGAAATTTTGGTGCTAATTGGAGTTTGTCTTTCACCGCAGTTCGGTGGTTATTGCTTCCGAATGGGAGCATTGTATTCGTCGGATTTTGACATTCTCTAATTTTGTCTGGAAATGATGTAGAATGTTATGATACGTGAAGATATGATGTTTTTAGAAAATGTCTGTATGTCCGAGTTTAATTTAGAAAATATAACAAAGCCCTGCATCATACAGAAGTTTTGAAAACTTATGATTGAATACTAAAAAAAAAGTAGAAAAAATTCTCAATTTTTTCAAAGAGCATTTTTAATTTATATTCAGAATAAGTTGAATAACAAGAAATTGAAAAATGTATCTGATTTACGGTGACAAATGGCGGCCTGTCACCCAATATCAGGCAGGGGGAAGACTGATTTCGTAAATCTTTTCCCACACTGCATAGAGACATTTATTACGGAAAAGGCTCTTTGAAAAAAGTTGTAATATTTTGGAGAATTTTTTAATGACACTTTTATCACATAAAAATGGCAGATGACTACATACCACTGTTTTGAAAATTGACATACCTAGATGTCACTTCCCATGAGGAGTTAGTGTTTCCTTATCCACCATGGAAGATGACAGCTAATAGATAATTTGCCACAGCGCATCAGATATTTGTAATTTCCACTTTTTTCAACTCATTCTGAATCTCAATTAAAAACGCTCTTTGAAAAAGTTCACATTTTTTAATATTTTTTTTTTATCATTCTATCATAATTTTTGGGAATTTCTACATGATGTACCACTCCATTGACAATTTTGGATTACGAATGATAAAAAAAATCCAGATAACATTCAAAAGATAGTACACCCGGGCCTTAATAGCGATTTTCGGTCATTTTCAATACTTGTCCCAGTGAAAAAAACAAGTAGTTTTTAAGATATTGACCAAAATAGTTTTAGACAAAAAGTTGAATATTTCAGGAACTACTTCACCCATCGGGCTGAAATTGTGCACCGAACTTGAGCTTCATAGTATCCACTATAGGTCAAAATTTCACATCCATATATATGAATTTTCCCGTATTATTCAGTCAACTATCCTCCAAATGATTAAATTCAATTGAGTTCAATTAAGTTCAATTGAATTAAATTCAATTGAATAATTAAAAATGAGTCAATTCAATTAAATTCTCGAATACCAACATGTAAACGAATGTTCTTTAAAAATAGTACATTATGCCATCAAACGATAAAAGTATTATCAGACGAATGTGATTATAATCCTCGCCTTCGGCTCGGATCATAAAGTCCCACTCATCAGATAATACGTTTATCGCCGTGTGACATACAATATTTTATGTCATTGGCCCCGAAAACCGGGGTTGATCGAGCCTGATGACAAATGTATTTCCATTGCATAATTAGAGAAATAATAATAATAATAATAATAATTGTTCACTCCAAAAATCATACTGAAGATGAATAATACAAGATATAATGAGTCTAACCTCCACCATTTGCTAATATTCAATTGAATATTCGCTTATTTGGGCGATAATTGCATGAATGATAGCGATTTTCGGTCATTTTCCATACTTGTCTCAATGAGAAGATTAATAACTCCCGAACTACGGTGAAAGACAAACTCTAATCCTACTAAGATATAAATGAATAATACGTTATGCAATCAATTTCTGACAAAGACCCATAGCAATACCATTTACATTTTTTAATTCTGATTATTTTTCCAACCCAAATATCGGGCAATATAATTGGCCCATTCGACATCACGTGGTACAAGCTACAGAGCTTTCAAGTGATAATTTTTTGATAATTTTTTCTGGTAGTTGTTATTTAAAAAACAAAACATCATGCAGTCAAATTAACCCCTCGTCAAACTGACAGATTGAATTCAATTGTATCGTTGTGTTAATTATACAATTTTCGTTTCTCAATTGTGAGTTTCGTCTCATGGTCCAATTATATTGCCCAACATTTGGATTGGAAAAATAATCCCCTGAATACCACACGAGCTTCAAAATTAATCGGGCATTTTCCTCAAAGTTCGTTGCAAACAAACGAAGGAGTCAAGTTTTTCAGGGTAAAAAATCACGAGTGCGA